AATAAAGGATTGAGACAAGTACATGCTCTGCCATGGTTGTATGTGATACCACTTCCTCCTATCCAAAAATACAGAGGTAGAGAGTCACTCTGAGGACGCACCTTGGAATTTAGAATCCTAGAAAACAGAGCTCAGAAGGATATAAGGAAGCCCCCCCTTCATTCCCTAACACCAAAGCAGAATCACTATATCTAAATGCACATTTTTATGGCCTGTTTTTAAAGACCTTCCGTGGTATTTCTCAGCAGTACCAGACAAAAAACGTACAAATTCACCCTACTGACTGACCTGAGTCTGCAAGTATATTGTTTTTTTTCTTAGTTATCACAAAGACCTTAACAAAGAGACGAGGAAGCTTCACGGCTTGATCCTTACCTCTCAGCAATTGCTGTGCAAGCAATCATTTCTGGACCTGCACATTTACATCACCTATTTTACCTGGTTAATCCCATGCCTCCCCACAAAGGAACACTCTACACAAGTTTGAAGACTGCATCATCTCTACAGAACCTCAGCATGTGCTGTCATCGTGAGAACAAGGACCCAGCGAGCTTGATCAAAGGTCAAACAAAATCATAAACTCCTGCTCTGAACCCCCTACTGATCTTCTGCAATGACTCAAGAAAGCCACTTCCTCTCCAGAATCTTCCAAGGTCCCTGTTGTCTATTAAATAATTTTCAGACCAAATTTGAGAAAAATTTCAAAAGCTTTCTTACCCAGGCACACTATTTATCAAACTGAAACACTCACAGCACTGATAATTCCATCTTTCCAATAGCCCATTTCTTTTAAGGCACTCCAAAACTTTGAAACAAACAAATCAATGAAACCCTCCCCAAGAAGCTCTCTGGGTGGAATTCTCTACTTTCTGATTCGCGAGAAAGGAAAAGAGTTAAAGGCTTCCTGAAATCTACCGGGATTTTTTTCCTGTTCTCAAGCAAAATGTACTCATAACATGATGAATGACAGGAAAGAATTCTAACAGGGAGAGAAATAACAATTTATTGCAGAAGAGAAATGACTTAAGGAGCGTGACAGGGAGAAGAAATATGATTTCAGAAAAGGCACCCGAGGATGAGTTTTAGAAAGGTGCTCCTGCTTCCTGATGGTGGTTATTCTCCTAAGGTCTTCACAGAGATAGGGTGCAGATGGGTAAAGTGTCACGTAAGGCAGGGCAGGGACAAGATTAAATCACAGCAAGAGGCATGAAGCATTGCAGGAATACATTTCTGGAATATAACTTAGTCCCAGCCCTTAGCTTGATTCTGGAACAGGAGGTTTTTTTGAGATTTGAAGTCTGACATGGTTTTGAATGTGACTCAGTCGACTCAGACATGCAAAAAGCAATTCAGAACTGCAGTTTTCCTCAGGGGGATTTGGGTCAACAGTATCAAACGGATTACGCTCATTAAAACTAAAATTGAATGTAATTTAATGAGGAATCCAAGTATAAAAGCACTTTGCCAACAAACGTCAACAATATTTATCCTACAGCTTTGGTATTCATGAGAATACAGCAGAGATCATGTGTAATTTGGATATTAAAGAATGCCAAAGTAAAACCAAATTAGCTTAAGTGGAATTATGATAGGGAGGAAAAAGTGTGGTGTAGATCCAAGATCAAGAGCAAAGTCATAAGAATACAAAAAGAAATCAGGCTTGGCATGTGGTGTTGCAGAGACCAGGTCCCAGAACATTCTACAGACCTTGATAACAAGGTCCTCATCTAATGTAATTTGTGTGTGTCTGTTG